GATCCTTCCGCACCACAGACTATACTCGTCCCTCGAATGGTTCGCGTTCGAAGGACGAGCATATCAGTACAAGGTCCTACCCTCCGGGCTGTCGCCCCGGGCAGTCACGCCGCTGGGGCTGCTTCATATGAGAGCGCTTTAACACTGGCTCCATTGCCGAGTCCTGAGGTGGGCGTGGCTACACGGCACTCACCGAGTCACACCGGCCTGCCACCAAACCTTCACCCTGTGTTCAGACCCTTCGTTTCCCCGTGCAGGAATGCCACTGGAACAGGTCTCCAGGCATGGCGTGGTTTACACAGATGCCTCAACCGCCACATTAGACGGGCTTGCAGTGTCGGTGGTTTGGAGGGGCCCCCAACTGCACTGGCACATCAATTGCCTAAAGTTGCTGGCAGTATGCCTGGCCTTGAGCCGTCTCAAGAGGCACTTACAAGGCAAGCGCGTGCTGGTCCGCACGGACAACAATGCGACCGATGTAAGGTGGTCTACGCTCAAGTCGCAACTCGCCCATCACCACCTCCTCTGGAGTCAGAAGCATCTGAGGTCATTCACATTCCTTGTCTGCACAACCAGGCAGCTGATGAGCTGTCACGAGCTGCACTCCTGGGAAAATGGAAACTCCATCCCCAGACGGTCCAGCTGATTTGGAGTCGTTTCGGAGCCGCTCGGGTAGACCTGTTTGCCTCTCCAGAAACCTCTCACTGGCAGTTGTTCTACTCTCTGTCCGAGGGAACACGGCATGGACGCACTGGCACACAGCTGGCAGCGGGGGCCTTCGCAAGTATGTTTCCCCCAGTGAGCCTTCTTGCACAGTATCTGTGCAAGATAAGCTCATAGCTTATAGCGCCTTACAGGCCCACTCGAACTTGGTTCCCGGAACTGATGTTCCTTGTGACAGCCCCTCGGCAGATTCCTCTGAGGAAGGATCTACTGACTACTGATCTACTGAGACAGGGCACCCTGTGGCAGCCGCGTCCAAACTTCATGTCTGGTTCCTGGACGGGATGCAGAGAAGACCCCGGAAATGTCCGATCAGAGTCGTTCTGTCCTTTCTGCAGCAGGGGTTGGAGCGAATGCTGTCTCCCTCCACCCTTAAAGTCTATGTGGCTGCGATTGCTGCCAACCACGACCCCATGGAAGGGAAGTCGGTGGGGAAGCATGACCTTGTAATCAGGTTCATTAAGGGGTGAGAAGGCTAAATTCTCCACGGCCCCCCTCTATACCCTCTTGGGACCTGTCTCTAGTGCTCAGAAACTTCAGCTTGACTGTCTGCAAAGGCTCAAATGGGCCCTGCTGTAGTGTTCAGAGCACTACAGCAGGGCCCATTTGAGCCTTTGCAGTAGGGATGGGCAATATGGGCCTAAAAATGTATCACAATAATTTCTGATATTTATTGTGATAACGATATCATTGACGATATCATCTATTTTTTATAGAAAATAACCAAAACAATCCTAGGTTTTTATTTAGCACAGTGGCTAGATTAACCGGCAGTTTGCCCAATTTAGCATATTGAATTGGCGTCAGGGCCGTCGGCGAGAGTGAGAACTCTTATTGGAAGTTCAGTCTAGCGAACGAGTCAGTGCCCGAGAATTCAAGTGAAAGTGATGGAAACCAGTAAATGAAGGCGGCACAGACTGAGGGCTGTTCTAATGTTACGTGATCTTACCCAAGTATGCGAGTATTTTCATAACAACATGAGCGGCTAAAAATTAATAAAGTTATCAACATAACTGATATTCAAAATGGTAAGCAAGCGCTGCTTTATTTACATTTCGTATATCT